GTTGGCGCATCATGATATTCATAAAATATTTGCTTCTTTTCTTCTACAATGTATTCTCGTTTTTTTTTATTCTTCCTCTCTTTCCTCGTCATCGTTTCTCTCTTCATCGTGTGCAACGGTGTTTAATTATGTGTCAGGAATAATCAGATTTCTACTTAACGTATCTGCGTTTATATTTCCTCTGCCTGCGGATAATTTCATAATCATACTCTTCTAACTTAAGTCTTCATCATCAATCTTGATCCAGAATCTATAACGCTGAATAATCAAACTAATGGTCGATAATCGATGATTATTTAAAATTTTCCATATAAATACGGTCAGAAGTATTTTACTCCCCATACTATTGCTAGAAGCTCTTTCTTAGTCGTATTATAATTTTGTTCTGCTTTATTTAATACTCTGCTGGCATATTGGCTATTGGACGATCCTGATCTATTTGTCCTTGTGATAGTATTGTTCCAATGGCACAATCGAACGCATCGGTGGTTACTGAAAACTCCTTAGTAAAATCTGAGTAATTTAATATTGGTGCCGTAACTAATTTTTCTTTCAGCGTCTGGAAACTATATTGTTGCTCAATACTCCAATTAAATTTTTCCTCTTTTTTCGTTAGTTTTGTTAGAGAGCTTGGCAATTTTCGAAAAACCTTGAATGAATTTTTCGTAATATCCGGTCAGTCCTAAAAATGACTGTATATGTTTTACCTTTTTTGGTGTTGGAAATTTTTCTACTGCTTACAATTTGCTCGGATTGTATTCCGTTTTCCGTAACAATATGTCCTAGATAAGTAATTTCTTTTCTGAGAAACTCGCATTTATCTGGTTGCAACTTAAGATTATGGTCTCTCAGGCGTTGCATTACTTCAGTTAATCGTTTATTGTGTTCGTTGCACCGTATATTATTATCGTCTAGATAAACTAGACATGTGAATCCTTGAATCCTGATTAACATCAAGTTCATCAACCGTTGAAATGTAGCGGGCGCGTTTTTAAGTCCGAATGGTATTCTTTTATATTCATAATGTACGGTGTAGAAAAAGCCGTTTTACTTTTATGTTCTTCTTTCATTGGAATTTGATGGTATCCGAATGCGAGATCTAATATTGAAAAGTACTTTGCATTTCTTAGCTGATCTAGGATGTCTGTTATACTTAATAGTGGAAAGGAGTCTCTAATTGTCAAATCGTTTAATTTTCGAAAATCTACTACGATGTGGAGTTTTTGTTTCCAGATGCATCCACTTTTTTGGGTACTACTAGCAATGGCGCATTCTATTGACTTGTACTGTGACATATTATTCCGTCTAACTTTTTAATCTGCCGATTTACTTCTGCTTTATGTTTCTTCGGTAATCTATAAGATCACACAGGCGCGCTACGTATATTTATTTCATGTGCTATTGTCGTGTAAGTTAGTGGATCGTTCTCTACGTGAAATAAAAGTCAGAGCATACGTTAATGCTTTCTTTCCGTTAATGCGTTAACCTTCTTTTCTTCGTGATTTAGATGTTCTGTTCGTAGTTTTTCTAAGCATTTCTGACTGTACAGTACGGCCGTCGCTCTCGTGTAACGTGAGCATTTCCGCGGCGTCATTCAGCTACACGACGTCTAACGTTACGCTCGACGTCGTAATTTCAATAGTTTTGGTAGTTAATTACTTATTGGGTAAATATAATCGGATTCTACCAGGCAATTATCAATAAATATTTCTGGTTCAGTTTCTTCAGGTTTCACTATTCCAATCTGATTTTGACCAGTAATAACTTGTACAATGATTTCACTGCAAAGCATTAGAATATACTTCTTGTGAGGATGCAATTTTAGATTTATGCTTCTAATTCGCAATATTTTTTTTGTATGATCGCATTGCTCGTTGTTTTTTTAAGAAATCTATACCGAGAATTCCTTTGTAAATGACAGGGAAGGCATCTTTTACTATATGGTGTCTCTTATTTTCTCATTTCCGAGGACAATCGTAACTCGAATCTTACCGAGGGTGTGAATCTTGTATCCTGTACGCCGGTGAGAGCTATTCGTTCCTCCCGTACAAGCG